TTGATGCTGCAGATAATGCTGTTAATATTATTCATGGCCTGAGGTCAGTATTTCCATTTTGGTCAAACCTCAGGAATGGCATATATAGCTTGATCATGCTAGCCCTTCTTGTCCTGGAAATACTTTTATTCCTGCCCATCATGTTAAAGCTTGTCTCTAACTATATCAACAGGCTGGCAGCTAAAGTACATGACTTGAAACTGAAAATGGACCCCTAGACAGAGTTATTAATTTAACAGGCCAGCAATCCAAGGATGGGTAAGATTTTGCGCAGAGCCTTACCAACCTAAGACAGAAGTGCATTGCTTATGATAATGCATATTCCATGAGGAGTAAGGAAGTATTTATCAGAATGACCTAAGACAGACTCAGTCTGGTTTATGCAATAAAAAGGGGGAGATGTGGAGAGCTTTTGGGGCTGCCTGGTAGGAATCTGACATAGGCCAAGGACAAGAAAATGGACTGCAGGCAGGAATCTGACATTAGGCTGGTACAAAGAAATAATTTCAGGCAGAAAATTTTAGGCTAGAACAAAGAAGCAATTTCAGGCAGGAATCTAAATCTTAAGCTAGAACAAAGAAGTAGGCTTCAGGTATGAAAATGACTTTGGGCTAGAACAGGGAAGTAGGCTCAGATATTTTGGTTATCCAGATAAGCCCTTAGAAATCATGATCATTGGAGTGATCATGGGACTCTGTTTACTGTCATGAGTGTTCTTTTACTATCTGGGTTTACTGTCTTGCTTGTTCTTTGACTATTTGCATCTATTGTATTGCTAGTTCCTTAACCTAGAACTGACCTTGATACTTGCATGTAATTTAAACAATATAAAGGCAAAAAAGGAAGAGGAGGGATGGAACAGGAGATTAATGGGTGGGGGGAATGAGGAAGGGGAATAGCATCTGAATTGTAAATAAGTAAAATATTGAATAAAAAAATTAAAAAAGGAAATAGTTTACCTTTTAGCTGTTCTAAAATACATAGTGTCTTTTTCCTGGGCTGTTCTGTTTCGATCTCATTTTTTTTCTGTTACAGACTCAGGTTGCCAACTTGACCATGATAGAGACTTTGGAGAAAACTTTCAGACAAATATACTTAGGTCTAGAGCAGGTCAAATTCAAACTCCAGACTCAGCTTATTAGTAGTGTAGACCAGCATGTTACACCATCCTAATATTATCCAACCCCAAAGACACTTGCGTATCTGTAAGACTGACTCCAGTGCTCAGAGGGAGAAATGATAGAGAGTACAGAAATCTTAGAGAAAAGGGATTTTCTTTTTAGAGTGAAGAGTAACGAAAGCCAGAGTAATGAAAGCTTAGAGATAAATGATTTTGAATAATTTACTCCTTTGTGGCAGAGGTTGTTGCAATCTGTGTGAATTATGAAGTTGAATGCACCATTTTCTGGCCATTGAGATTGATTTTCTAGTTTGCAGTTAAAATAAGGCAGTAAGGCCTAATGAGATCTGAGTCTGAGGAAGGACAGAGACTTGAGAAGGCAGGCAAAGGAGTGGTGACATCTGGCTGATGGTGGAAGGAGGCTATGATTGATGAGATAGATGATGGAGGGCTGAAGAGGGAGGGGTAGAAAAGTAACCACAGTATCAGGGCAAAAAGTAGATAGGAAGCAGGAAAAGTCTTCCTTAAGTCTGGACATTGGGAACTGTAAGGAGAAGATCTGCTGGAAGGAGGAGACCAATGGCTTATACAAGTGAAAGGGGTAGGAGGGATTAAAGATTGATCATAAGTATGCAGAAGGAGAGAGTGGTGAGCTGGTAGAGGGGTGGAGTAAGTGTCTCTGAATGGAAACTCAATCCAGATGGTGTCCCCAAGTGAAGTGAAGTTCAAGTGAATTCCCAGATTGTGAGAGATGGTTGTCCCAAACCAAGTGAAGGATGTCAAGGAGGGTGTGAGAAACTGCCTGGTATACAGCAAGACTTTTGTAGCAGGCTTCAGTGAGGATGAGAGAAAATCTGGAACTGTCCAGAGAGAAGGGCATTTGCCCTAGCTTGTAAGGAGAGGTGAGTAGGCATTCAGGAGAAAGAAATGGTGAGAGAGATGGACTCAGAATCTCAGAATATGGTGTACGACAGAGGCAAATGATGTGTACCATGGAAAAGCCCAGAAATCAGTTTTTTGTTTAGTGAAAGGGGGAACTTACTCCCCAAAGGTATTTCTTCTAGGTTTTTGGCACCAAATGTAAGCAGATGTAGCAATAAACAACCAAATACAGCCATTTTCAGTACATAAAAGAACAGTTTAATTTAAAAATATGTCAAGTTGCCTCAGACAGTAGAGGACAGCAGCACCTGCAGAAGCTTGTTGGGTTTTAGGTGGGTGGATAGAGCCTAGTGATGGGGGAGGTTACTGCTCAGAAGCTGGAAAAGCCAGGTGGTTAGCATGGGGACTCTTTCAGACAGATGAAGTACTGACAGTTGCAATTAGGTGCATTCACACAACCTTGTTTTCTTTTTCTTTTATTGGTTATTTTATTTATTTGAATTTCAAATTGCCTCTTCCTGGTTTCCCCTCTGCAACCCCTATTCCACCCTCCTCCCCCTGCCTCTATGAAGGTGTTACCCCAACTACCCAACAACTCCTGTCTCACCTCCCTAACATCCTCCTATGCTGGGGCATTTAGCCTCCATAGGCCTCTCCTCCTCTGTTAAATATACAGCTGGAGCCATGAGTCCTTCCATGTATACTCTTTTGTTGGTGATTTAGTCCATGGGAGCTTTGGGGAGTCTGGTTAGTTGTTGAACTCATGGCCTTGGGACGAGCAGTCAGTGCTCTTAACTGCTGAGGTATTTCTCCATCCTCCTCAGACAGCCTTTAAGGGCTTCTGAGAAATGCTTTAGGTTTCTGTTTTCTAGTAAAACCCAGTTCATGTGGAAGTCAAGTCATTGCCATCAGCAATCCACTTTGGGAACCTAACAAATATAAGAATATAGCTATTCCTTGATAAATATATTTATTATTATTATTACTTTTACTTTTTTTACAGTTCAGTTAAAAACTCCTTCTAGTCTGCCCTCCCACAGTCTAACATCCCATCCCTCCTCACTCCTGTCTCCAAGAAAATGTTTCTCCCTCACTCTCCTCCCCAGGTCTCCCCACTCCCTGGGACCTCAAGTCTCTGGAAGATTAGGTGCATCTTCTCTCAATGTGGCCATACCAGGCAGTCCTCTGGTGTATATGTGTTGGGAGCCTTATACCAGATATATGCTGCCTTATTGGTGGCTCAGTGTCTGATAGATCTCAGGGGTCCAGGTTAGTTGAGACTGCTGGTTTTCCTATGGGGTTGTCCTCTTCCATAGCTTCTTCCAGTCTTTCCCTAATTCAAACACAGGAATACCCGACTTCTTTCCACTGGTTGGGTGTAAGTATTTGCCTCTGTCTCAGTCAGCTGCTTGTTGTGCCTCTCCAAGGACAGCCATACCATAGCATCAGTAACAGTGTCAGGCCTTGGAGCCTTCCCTTGAGATGGATCCCAAGTTGGGCCAGTCGCTGGACCTCCTTTCCCTCACTCTTGCGGGGAATGATAGCTTGTGCATAGATATGAACTCATTCAGTTGGGCTGAGTTGTGAGTCCCCTCACGTCTTCTATTCTTTGTGGGCACCTCAGGGAGGCATGCCTCCAGAGAGAAGCAGAAATGCTCGGGATTTTGACTGAATTGCTTCCGCATGGTGCCAGAAATGTGGGCTGTGAGAAGCCGCAGGGGCGCCTCAGGGTGGGGAGAAAACTCAGTCTGAAGTTCTGTGGGAGGGGCAGGGGCTCTTGACTTGGGGATCCCCAGGCCAGGAGGTGGCTGGGGATCAACTGATCTCAAGCTCTGGGGCTCCCAGATGCCACTGGGAGGCCATGGCAAAATGGATAACCAGCCCGCACACTGAGAGAGCAAGGGAGGGGGAAGAGAAGAAAGAAGCCCCAGGCACCCTGTGGGAAGAGACTCGGTTATACACGATTGGCAGGGTTAGCAGCCCGACTAGCTTGTTTGAAGATGTGGACCTCCACAGCTGGAATGCAGAGAGGTCCTCAGGGAAGTGCAGCGGGGCCCCCCCCAAAGACACGTGGAGTTCATAGTTCCATAAGCTTTATTTTCATAGTGGATGGTAGTTGAATCTGGAGGCACCCTCACTCAGGTCAGGGTGGACCTTACTTAGGGAGGGAGGGGGGAAGAGGGTCTGGGAAGAAAAACTTAATTACCTATGCCCTCTGGCCTTTAGGTATCTCATTAATATGGAAATCTCTTGAGGCTGAGGCCTGTAGTCACACCCTCTACTTGTGGAGTGGCTGGTAGGAGCGTTACTCTACATGACTGAACAGTGCAGATCAAATGGAGGTCTACGCCATGTGTCAGGAGTCTGGATTCTGGGAGCATAGCGGAATAGATGCCCGTCCCTCACAGGCATGCACACCTGTTGGGTCTCCAGGCTATTTCCAGCCAGCGCTTCTACCAAAACCAAGCCATCCTATCACATTCCCACACACTCCCTTCTCCATTTTTGTTCCTGCAGTTCGTTTAGACAGGAACAATTCTGGGTCAGAGTTTTTGACTGTGGGATGGCAACTCCATCCCTCCACTTGATGCTCTGTCATTCTACTGGAGGTGGACTCTGTGCCTTGAGAGACTCCTGCCTCCCAGGTCTCTGGTATATTCTAAATGGACCTCCCCACCTTCCACCTCCCAAGGTTGCATATTTCCATTTTCTCTGCTGGCCTTCAGGGCTTCTCTCCTGTTCCCACCCTCCCAATACCTGATCATGTTTCCCTTTTCCCTTCCCCTCCCCTCTCCCATCTAGATCCCTCCCTCCCTCTGCCTCCCATGATTGCTTTCTTCTCCCTCACAAGTGGAATTGAAGCACCCTCACTTGGGCCCTTTGGCTTGTTAACCTTCTTGAATTCTGTGGATTGTATTTCTTGATATTTTAACAACTAAAATTGGCTGCTTTGACATCAACTTGAGGCTCATGATGTAACTTTCTTTGTTCTTCACAGATTTGTGGTATGGACATCTTCGTTTGGCTTGCTGATCAACTTTCAGCACCTGATGGCTAATGTTTTCCTATTGCAGTGTCTTTTTGGTACAATTACCATTCCAGCTAATTGTGTTGGATTTTTTTTGGTGAATCACTTGGGCCGCAGAATAAGTCAACTATTTATCATATCCCTATTTGGAATTTCCATTTTGGCCATAACATTTGTGCCTCAAGGTGAGGAAAAGATGCAGGGTGAGCAAAGAAATAATCTCCTTCTCTTTCCTTGGGACTTTTAGGCTCACCTATAAAATCAGAAGAAAACACATTCTAAGGATTTTTTTTTGTGTTGCTAATCTGGGTGTTTAGGGCACACTATTCCATTAAGGTACCCAGAGCTGAACATCAGTCACATTTGGTTATAGAAGATGAATGTTTACGATATTCAATATGCACATGAAAACTGGTGTCAATTATTCCCAAGTTTTGTTATTCTACATAAGACCCTATAATCTGATTGGCCATGTCCAGCTCTATCTTATTACTTCATCTTCAGTAGGAATTTATTTTCTGAATTCTGTGTATCTACTTTATGAGCCTCATGATATAAGGACACAAATACAACTCTCTTTGGAAATCAAGAAAATGGATATCCCTTGTATTGAAGTACATAAAATATGAATCATTAAGCATTAAGACTTTAGAACCAACTACACTGAATTTAAATAGACTTAAGTAATAGCAGTACATAGGTGGTCATAACTCTTGAATATCAGCAATGAAGTAATTTTTTTTTTTTTGCTTCACATGAAGGCTCAGTGCAAAGTTTGGATCTTACATAACACCAAATTGTGTAGAAAATGACTTTATGAAACTTTCCTTGAGTGCTTTTTTAAAAGTCTGACATGTTTCCAAGCAGCAGTTCTTGAGTCTTGAGACATTATTTCAAACCAAACCAATCTCTAGATTGCACACCATTGTAGGGAGTCTGTCTTTTCATAACATAATTCTACAATATTTCAAATCAACTGGCTATGAGTACCTGAATGAATATATAATCCTTAGTCACTTCTCCACAGCATTCCTACATTCTCTATGAGAAACTGCTGAAAGACTGGATAAAAAAGTACGAAAGTGAGCTCCTTCTGAACTCACCCAGTTTTCTACTTCTTAAGCAAATATTAAGAGATTTAAGGCATACGTATCCAGTTGTTTAGAAGCTTTGATTTCCCATAAACTAATATAGGCAGATAGATCACATTCTTCAATTTATTAGCCACTAAGGGAATTCTATCTTTGTAAACTTTCTCTACACTATATTTTACACTTTTACTCATTCCCAGTAAGGATAGTTTCTTTTTGGGATTTGAGAAGTACAAATTCCACAGCTTAGATCTCATGATTCTCCTTGGTCTTCCTCTCTCTAGAAATGCAGATCCTACGAATGGTTTTGGCAACTTTGGGAGGAGCATTTTCTTTTGTCTCTGTTGGCAATACTCTTGTGCATGCAAATGAGCTACTTCCCACTATAATCAGGTACAAGACTCAAGGTTCACTATCAGGCTCAGAACAAACTTTTAATTAATTAATTAAAATTTTTCTGTGCATATGCATGTGAATATATGATAGGTGTTTATGCACATATGTGCTTGCTATCATGTACCCATGGAGGTCAGAAGACAACTTTCAGGAGTTGATTCTCTTCTTCTGGTCTTAGGAACTGAAATCAAGTCATCAAACTTGATGGTAAACACTTTTACCTGCTGAGTCATCTTGCTGACTTCTTAGCTTATTTACATTCATTGACTGCATAGTTAGTTATCTAAAACAATTGATTGTGAAGATAGCAACAAGTATGTCCAAAGTTTCTTCAAAGTTACCTTTTGGTCAGTTCTTGTTAAATCTACATGTACCACTAATTCAACTTCATGTAATATTTGAAACTCAGAAAAGACAAAAGTCATGAGAAATAATCTACTTTACTGTGTGTTGTTTTTAACCTTTCAAAATCAATTCTAAAAAGTTAGCATGAAGAATAATAGGTTTATTATACATTTACACACCTACTCTGTTTTGGTTGCTCTGCTGCTTTTATCCAATTCCCTTCTGCTATTTACCCTCATATCTCTAATTACTGCCTCCTCCTTTCAGGTCATGCCTGTGTGGCATGTGTGTGTATGTGTGAGTGTGTGTGTGTGTGTGTGTATGTGTGTATATCATTAACTTCTTTTTCACTTAAGATCTTTTCTTTCCCCCTCATTGTACCCTCTCTAGTTTCCAAGTGTCTATCAATAACTCCGCCCCATGTACAGATATACATAAAAGCTAAAATCTAGGATTTTCACAGTAGAAAAAAATGTGTAGTATTTGTTTTTCTCACATCTTGTTTTGTAAATGATAAATGAGTGTTTTAATATGTGGTCTTGAGAAAAGATACTATCAAATGAAACAGAAATGGGAAAAACAAGAGTAAAAATTATCAACATTGTTATGTCTAAATACACTGCTTATTTCCATAATTAATGCAAAGGCTAAGTCACAAATTTCAAATGTGCGTCCTCATGGAGTTATTTCTGCATTTTGTTTTGTGCTCAAGGGCAACTGCTTTAGGAGTCATTGGAATTGCAGGTAGTATTGGGGCAGCCCTGTCTCCTCTGTTTATGATCCTCAGAACATACTCTGCCTCCTTGCCCTGGATCATCTATGGGGTTCTTCCCTTCCTTGGTGCCCTTGTTGTCCTTCTCCTACCTGAGACCAAGAATCAGCCTCTGCCTGACTCCATACAAGATGTGGAGAATGAGTAAGTAGAATCCTGCCCCTCATAGGACTTGGGCACTAATGGTCTTGTGATGAGGCAGGTGAGACAGCCTTGACTCCCAAACAGGTGAGACAGCCTTGACTCCCAAACAGCTCTGTGTCAGGTAGGCTGATAACTAGGCAGTTTTGTTTGTTTGTTTGTTTACACATGGAAGTTGTATTTGGTATAGGAACCATTTGCACGTATTTTTATACATTGATTTCAGAAGTGCCTGGAAACTCTCTAAATAACAAAGACCAGCATAGGGATATTTAGAGATAACTAGGACAAGAATATATGTCATTTGTTCTCTCTGACCTCATGTGAAGCACATATCTTTGATGATATTTCACAAGCATGCACAAACACAAATGTCATTTTGTCCCTCATACCTGGTAAATGCTGGTAAGCTGTCTGAAACTCACAGTACTTATGTGCTTGAGTGTACAATGGTCACTGAATAACTTAAAGGAAATTGCATACAGGTCTAAAGGACCTGCCACTAATGACACTGTATCTGAATGACGGAATCTTGTTTTTGCTATTAGACGCAGATTATTTTTGTTACACTAGAAATAAAAGTGTTCATGACAGAGAAGAAGGGAATCATCAACAAAAGGGTCATAGAATGTAAAAAAATGAGCAGAATTTCAAAACTTATGAGGCATTTCTATTGCTTCCCCTCACCCAAACATCCTTGGAGAATACCATAATAGTCAAGGTAGAAAGTTCCCTAGTTTGCTTCTCTGTTGCTGTGATAGAATACTGAGCAGATGCAACTTGAGGAGTGAAGGGTTTATTTTAGTTTACAGGTTAGTCCATCACTGAGAGAAGCTCAGACAGGAGCTTAAATTAGAAACTAATCAAGCAATGCTATTTACTAGTTTGCTTCCTCTGGCTTGTTCAGCTACTTTTCATATACAGCTTAGGCTATCTCCTAAATATGTCACCAGAGTGAGTTGGATCCTTTTATCTCAACTTGCAACCAAAAAATTCTCTAAAAACATGCCACAGACTCATCTGATGAATCAGTTTCTCAACCAACATTCTTGCTTCTCAAGTATGTCAAGTTGACAACCAAGATTAGCTATTGCATGGAAGTTACTAGGAGATTGGTCTTTTACTTGACAAGATGCACTCAAATCATTTTTGGCAGAAACAATAGGTGTTTTCAAAGCAGTTGGGTGAAGGATGAGGATGTAGGGATATCATTTTTCTCTGTGTCCTCTTAGATTTACTGTGTTTCTTGTGTTTGCTATATGTGTTACAGAGGAAGAGTCTCCAGACAAGCAAAGCAGAAAGATACTTTCATCAAAATGACACAGTTTTAAGGAACTCCAAAAACTGGAATCTGATAAAGGAGCAAGATAAGAAAACTATCACTCAGATTTGTGATGGTCCAGGTTCACTCTAGATATAGCAAAATTCTAGATCAAATAACAACATAGCAAAAAGTTTGTATTAAATTTAAAATTTCCATACTCAACTGATATACAAATTATCTCAATAAAAATTAAAGGAAAACGTAACACAGTGAAATAAATCTTCAGAGACATTTTTATGACAATAGACACCAATGAAGTTTCCAGATAGGACTTGGATGAATCTTCTTCCAATTATTGTGACATGATGCTTGGGAAAAATTAAAGATGGACAATTTATTGTGAAATTCTCATTAGTTTTATTCCATGGCTGTTGGGGTAATCTCTTGTGTACTGTGTAAAGATTGTCTTTGTATTATTCAAATGCTGTTTCTGTACCAGCAGAGATTTGAGTACAGCTGGACGTTGGTATTATTATTTTTATGAAGCACCACCTGTCTCAGTATTCTGTAAACATCTTCTCTATTACCTTATGGTTGGTTTAATAAAGAGGTGAATGGTCTATACCAGGGCATGAGATGAAAAGTGAGACATTTGATTTGGCAAGAGATAGGAACTCTGGGAAATAACTGATGATGAAATTTATCAGCTATTAACAGGAAATATGTTAGAAGCCTCAGAATTGTGTAAGAAACATCACGTTAACAGCAAAGGTTTGAAGAAAGATTTTTCTATCACTTGGCAACAAGCCAAGAAAATGATAAGGAAATGTCCTCTTTATTTAACCTAACTCCATTACCTTCAGTAAATAATCCAAAAGGTACCCAAAGAAATAAAATTTTACAAATGGATGTGTTTTATTTTTCAGAGTTTGGAAAAATTAAAGTATGTGCACTATTTCATAGATATATATTCAGGATTTAAATGGGCAACTGCTTTTCTGAAAAGGCTGATTTTGCAATTACACATTTATTATAAGTTATGGCTATTATGGGGATACTTTTAGAAATTAAGACTAAAAATGCTTCAGCATATTTCCCTAGTAAAATGAAAGTTTTTTTTGCATATTACAACATACAGCTTATTATATGCATACCACATAATCCTACAGGATAAGCAATTATACAAAGATCAAATCATACTTTAAAAGAGATGCTTAAGTTAAAAATATCTCTCTGGGTTCCCTGAGGGACAAGCCTGACTGCATAGAGGTTGATGTCAAAAGTATCCCCACTCCAAGAAAAAGACATCAGGATGGGTATGGCCCTCATGCCTCACTGGACAATGACAGGAGGACCAGAGCCATTACAAGATCCCCTTCAATTACTGGAGGTCAGGCCTCTATCCCTGCCTTTGCGAGATTAGAATCACCATGGCTCTTTTATACTTGGAGAAGGGAGGAGATGTCGGGGCAGCCCTGCTTATACGCTGAACCATGGATCTAAAATCAGCAATAGGCCTGACATACATGCATGCTAACACAAAGTCTTGGGTCTCTGTGGAAAAACATTAAAACAGATGGCTATAAGCTATTGTAAACAGGCAGCTTTTCTGGAAATTTACCAGCCCGAGTAGTCATAGACCTTGTAAATAGGTAGCCTTAATGGACAGTACCAACTTAGATAAGTACAAGTGAATCATAGGCAGATAGTTCATAGTGACCTGTCCCTTGAACCCTCACCCAGCCGATATACTGTTCTGAAAGATATCTGTACTCCCCCCGAACACCTACACTCAGGTGTCATCCCCTTCCCCACATCCTGCCTTTTTGTATTTATAACCCCTGTGTGAATAAGTAAAGATTATGACTTGATTTAAAAAAAAAGGAATGCTTAATTAAACAGAAAGTGGTACTAAAGACCCCCCCAGAGAAATATTACATAGTACTTTATTATCTTTAAAAATTTTAAAGCTTATGAACAGAAAACAACAGCTGCTGAGAGACATTAGATTGTAGGAAAATACCCTGCTGAATTAAACCAGTCTGTATGTTTTAACAATGTGTTAAGTTACAAATAGAAGTCAGGAAATGTGTTGCATGGGGGCAGAGGCTATGCCTTTGTTTCAGCAGAAAACAAAAAGCTGAATATTTCTTCAATATTAATAAATATTAGCTTTAACTTGGGGAAAGCTCCTGAAAATCCTGGCTTCATACTTGAAGGAAGAAACCAAGAAGAACAAAAAAACAAGTAACATGAATGTTGATCCCTCTTTATGGGAACAGCTCTGAGATTGGCTGAGACATGTCACTACATAGCCAATAAATATTGTTGGCTACAGAGTCCTCAGTATTTATTGTTGCATGCCATCCTTTCATATGACATGGATGGAGATTTATATTACAATTTGGCTATACAGTCCAAATGGACCTGTAAAGTTTAATGGCTTTCCTGATCAGACAAAGAGCAGAGAGTAATCTTTAGCTGATTTGTGTACACTGCTCACTCCATCCATATATTAATGCAGAAATGTCTATTTCCTCAAAACCTATATCCAGAATGATTTCAAAGTGTTAGCTCAATTGTTCCATCCTCCAAAACTTCCAGTCATTTCTTCAATTAAACCCTGTACTTTCCCATCACACAGAGACTGGAGAGCAAATGATATAGCTGACTCTCCCACAACTTGACCACTTTCCCAATTTTCTTAAGGTCCCTAAAGAATGCTGTTGCCCTTAGACAGTAGGAAGCAACGTTAAGAGAATGATGTCCCTATTTCCAAGAGGTGGCATGGGCAATTGTTGGTCATTAGTGGGTGATGGGTGTTTGTCTTTATTTAAGGAGGGTTAGTCACAAGTTGTTAATGGTCTTTGTCGGGGAGGAAACAAAGTAAAGGAGGCTAGATTCAAGAATATGTTTCTTTCTTTTTGTTCAATCTTTCATTATTTCTCTCCTATCTAGTGTTAAGGAGAACATGGGGAGACGGGATAAAAAGAAAAATGGGGAATATAAAAAAAATGATAGGATAAAAGGGTAGATTATTGAATTTAATTTAGACCAGAAAACAACAGCAAGCCAAATGTTTTTACATTGGTATGGATTTTTGTATATTGCTAGAAAATTAAGGTTATTTTTGTTATAACATACTATATATAAGTTTCAGCTCTTGTTTAAGGCATTGAACCTATACAACTCACTTTAAAATGTAAGGTAAAAGTTCTAGTCCTGGAAAGCTACTGTTAGAAACTATTTAGGATAATTAAGAAATGCAGGTTAGTGTCAATCAAACTTGTCATATTAGGTACTAATGTAGTTAATTTCATAAATAAGCTTTATTTAGCCTTCTGTAGATATTTTCAAAGTTAAGGAAGTTGTTCTGGGTCAAGTGAGACTGGGAGTAATGGTTCTGGAGCAACAGTGAGATTGAGAGATGTCCAAACCTTGAAAATCTCAATTTGAGACTGGCAGTAGTAAGAATTGCTCCCTCCCTGTTCTGGGCCTGAATGACCTGGAGCATGGAGCTCTACAGTCCCCACTTCTATCACCACTGAGGTAGTCATATAGCCTCATGGCCAAAGTACAGGTTTAAACACCTGAATTCTTCTTCATGTAAACAAAGCATTCCCAGAACCTCAGCCCCAGTCAATAATGTATACTCACCACCCAAACCTCTACTTGCTCTCCAAAGTTTATATAGCCCTTGCAATAAAGAAGAACTTTTTCACTGAAAACTGTCTAGAAGAGCTGCTTCACTTTCCCCTGATAAAGAAGAGCTGTAACACTGAAAACTGTCTTGGAGAAGGCCTCCCTACCACTCACCTGGCCAGTCTTAGACCCTGCCAACCTGCCTGTTCCAGTTCAGTTTCATCCTTTATAGCCCAGTGTGCAACAGTGTACAACAAAGGAAGAAGTGGGATATAGAATGGCAGCCAGTGCTCACGTGAATTCAACAGGACCTCTTGTTTAAGCAGGAAAGGGTGAGTGCCCTCTGGCCTTTGGCATCAGTCCAAAGGGCCTTAAGCCTCTACACTCTGAGGACAGGCAGTATATTTTCTCCTGCTTTGATTTTGATTCATACCATCACGTGGATTCATATACATTGACAGGTCATCTGAAGCTACTTCCCAACACAATCATATAACGTAATTAACCTGTTTATTCTAATCTAAATTCTGCTACATGGCCAGTTATGTTTCCTTCAGTACCAGCACCTGGCTGGAGAATCTCCTGCCTCTGACCCTTTCCCAGAATTCTTTTTTTTTTTTTTGGTTTTTTTGAGACAGGGTTTCTCTGCGTAGTTCTGGCTGTTCTGGAACTCACTCTGTAGACCAGGCTGGCCTCGAACTCAGAAGTCCGCCTGTCTCTGCCTCCCAAGTGCTGGGATTAAAGGCGTGCGCCACCACCGCCTGGCATGTTTCCCAGAATTCTTATCTCTGCCTGGAAGATAGACCTATCCTCCCTTGCTTTGTTTCAGGACATTCAGCTCTTTATTAAATCAACCAGAAGGTGATGGAGAAAATGTTTACAAAATGCTGAGAATACAAAGACAACCTTTATACAATACACAAAAGATTATCCCAACTTCTCACTCTTTTAGTTCAATAAAAGGCTCTTCCTTTAACATCAATAAGAACAATTATGAGCAATATAAGGTAAGAATATATTTATAACGTCCTGTCTATATTTGTTTGGCAACCTTGGAAAGAATACTTTACTATCTATCCCATCTTGGGGAGTTCAAAGTTCTATAGCTAAATCATTTTCTATTGTATCTTGCATTTATCAACCTAAAAACATATTTTTAGATCATAAATTATTTCATTAAATCCTAAAAAACTTTTTTTTGATGGTTTGAAGAGATTTATTTTTGGATATCAATGGTCAACGAAAAGTATGAGCATCATTTGACAAAAATTCTTGGAGACAAGAACTCCTAGATTATAAGAATTGCTGAACAGAGGAAATGTTTAAGATGTCTGCTTTATCTTGTGTAAGTATGATTCGAAGCTCTGAGAGTCAAGTGCAATTATGAAAGTGCCATGAAACTAGAAATACTTACATTGCCATCTTGACTGTTACTTTAAGAGTTACAGTTCGCAGATACCCCTTTCCCGTGTTTCTTGCAGCTGGGGGAGAGTAGCACTTACTCTTAAGAAAAGTTGATGGTTTTCTCTTCTGGTACCCCAGCCACTTCTTCCATGTTTGCACAGATGCTGAGATCTAAGGTTTCTGTTCGCCCGCCTCTGTTGCCTGTGTCATTGTGGCTCCACTGAGTGCACAGTAATACATCACAGCATCCCCCAGCTGCAAGTCTGAGATCTCCAGACTGAAGGACTTAGCTACTTTCTGGAAATTCACAGAGAAGAGGTTCTCTGTTGCATTATGTTGCTTGTAAGCTTCTTAGCGAATAACACTCACCCGCCCTCCTTGCGGTTTGTACCAGAACAAGTAGTAATTAGTGTCACTTGTGTCATAGGTATGTAAGGACCCAGAAAGAGGACCCCATCTCAAGTCCCGATCAGCACGCACCCAAGGACACACGAGAGACTGACTTGATGCAATGACAAAAGGCAGTTTACTAACAAGGGCCCTTGGATCGAAACTCATCCCACGCAGGGGAGAGAATTTCGATGAAGACCCCAGGAAGTTTAGAACTTTTATAGGGGGAGGCACAAGGGGGAAGGGAAAAGCAGGAAATTCTGGCACGGTTACATATGATTGGATATTTCAAACACCAGCACTTTGCATAAGCAATCATTTTGACAGGTTGGATGGCCCACTATTTTTGACCATGAAGTCTCAGACCTTCTAGGATAAACACCAGGTGGCCCATTACTCACTTGGGCATGTTTAGACTGGTCAAGATATGTCTTTGGTTGTTTCTACATTTCTGGTCACCTCGTCCCTAGAAG